GATATGAAGTTGGTATGGTAAAGCATGAGAAATAATTGTGGGTACGAAATGAACAACAGAAGGCAAACAAAATGATCAGGTCTTGACGCAGCTTGTGCAGAGGGCATCGTCCTTGGAAAGGTGAGGAAACGGGAAGAGGTCGCGGTCGGCCGCTGCTGCCAGAGGTGTTCCTCTGTGTCGGCGGCGTCGCTGGTCTCCGCCCTGAAAGAGATCAGTCAGCTAGAAGAAAAGAACTAACTGGGTACTAGTGACCGCTATGCTTACAGGCGATAGGGGCTCCAAATGGAGTTAGTTACAATAAATATCATATTCGTGACCTCGACCTGAAATTACCCCTACAGGTGAAGCGACAAGAAATTTCGCGACTTTGGGGCAGTAACTGTGTTATTATCATAGTGCCTTGGAATGTCTGAAGGTTCTTTCAGACTTGCAACTTCTCCTCATTGAAGAAGGTTATAGCTGTTTTGATATAGGTATTGTTTACAACTGCTCCCCTAGCAGCTTAGACGCTCAAGCGTCAATACCGGCGACCGGGTGTTAGGGTAATTTCTCTAAGTTATTTCAAATCCTCCATACATTATGATGAGAGTCGCACCTATTTCTTCTAGGGGACGGGGTGGCGCAAGCCGGGGCCGTATGCTATCTTTCCCCCAGAGGTGGAAGGACTGAAATTCCTTTAACTTTTCTCAGTTTTCTCTACTGAAGTTTTCACTTAGCTTTTGGGAAGGATAGCATAAGGTCCCTGACCGCTGCTGAGGAAGGGAGGGGTATTTGAATATTTTCGGTGACGTCACGCCTTCACCTTGCTCCCACTATGGCAAACTGTTCCTACAGTAAGAAAGAGGTTTAACGAATCAAGTGAACCTCCGTCTATCACTCAATTGAATCACATGAAATCGGGTTTAACTGCCTACCATTAGTGGTTCGTGCCCTAGTATCACTGAACTGTTATTTTTGGAGCGAGAGAACATATCACAAAGGCCGGATGTAGCCTTCAGAGATGTCCAACAATGGATCCAACCATGTTCGCGTTATCGTGCGTGTTTGATTCTGCGTGAGTTTCCAGCGTCATAATCTCCAAAGAAAGTGAAGTTGGCTGCGACTCCAAATTGACTTCACAGTATAGTTTTCTCAAAGGAATCCTTCCACGGAAAAAGCTCCGCCCTCATTACCACAGAAAACGATACCTTAAAGGAATCTTCCACGGAAAGAGTGATCATTTTGTCTTGTGTGTAGGATTAGTATTATCGAAACTAACGCTTATGTTCCGTTCTTTTTGCTATGCTCATGAGGCTAGGGGCCTAAGGGGTATCGTTTTTCTGTGGTAATGGAGGCGGAGCTTTTTCCGCGGAAGATTCCTTTAATCATTCGTGGGGATATATCAGAATGCTTCTTATACCATGTCATATCATTCAAGGAAATGGGTAACATTCACAAACTTCAAGTATGTATTTCGTGTTCTTTTGCTTTCCGATTTCCTATATGTTTTAGTGTGCTCCAGCATCAAAAGCAACAGTTTTTGCACTGAATCAATCGATTCAGGCTGTCATTTTCCAACTCAATAATTCTAAAGTTTCAGCATCTTGTTTCTTCTTACCTGCGGACGTCATCACGCGCCTTGCCTCTAACGAGTAAGCGAAATCGGGATGTATGTGACATATAGAGGGGGTGGAGGGAGAGGTCGTATTTCCGCAAATCTCCACGCGGCCCGCTTTTTTGACTCTGTTTCAGTGTCGCAAAGCCCCGCGAGAACGACAAAGGGTTCCTTCAGTCCATCCATACCGCGTTACGCAGTCAGCGGTGAACATCATTTTCGAGCTTCATAAATTCATCAATCAATCTCTTGCGGTGATTTATCTGTGGCCGTCCACAATCGTCTCTTGCCGTCGCCAGAGCTGGAAACGTGGTCTTCTCAAAAATCCCCTCTAGCCCTTCTCTGCCCACAGTTCCTTCAATTTTTGTGCCTTTACCCAATGTTCATCGCTTGTGTCTGCTACCAAGCAAAATCATCATCCTCAAAGCGAAGCCCATTTCCTGCCGGCTCCTCCCAACGTTCAACACTTTCTTCGACTTTTTAACACATGTCTGAAGGCATCGTCTCGGATACACCGAAGATGAAGAATGCAGCGATCACTCAAAAACCAGACTGGTTCAAATGAGAACATATCTCAAGACCCCTCTTTTTCCATTTTTTTTTGGAAAATCGTAAGTAACATTTACGACCAACGAGCGCAGGAGCACTCTGACGGCTTCCATCCAGGCGATGGATGTGGGCGCTGCAATCAGTAGCTATCCAGGAAAGTCCAAAAAACCTCGACAACTAGCCAATCTGGGCTCATGTCCTCAGGGAGGACATTCAAAAAAGCATTCAGAAACCTCCGGTACTTAGCACTAACAAGGCAGTTCGTTCAGGTGTGCCAAGCTTTTTCAAAATGTTTCTTGCATGACATTGGGGCACATATGGGGACCACAGAACCATGGTTCATTTTTCCTGAACGGCCCTCTGAATACCAGTCGATTCCTCGTGGTGACAAATTTTTGCATTTCGAGTTGACGTTTCAAAATTCGCGCAAAATGGAGTTAGCATGAATAATTAGTACCATATTCATGATTAGGACCGTCAGTAACCCTTACAAATAGACTTTGATTAAAAAACTGGTGAAAAAGGTGTGATACCAAACGGCCACTGTGGTGACTATCGATAGTGAAGGAATGGAAATATTTCATCGAAAGTATTGAGCTTAAGAATTACTCGTTTTTCTAAATCCAGTTGTGCTAGGTCAGTGGGGTGCAGAAACCCGCACACTGCCAAAAAATGGATACTGTCGAAGCGGCCTTGAGAAGCCGTGACCAGGGAGAAGCCGTGACCGTGCGTTGCGCAGATTCCAAAATTTTTACTACCCCTAGGAGGGTATCTGTACGACCTCCCCCCGTACTGGCTATTGTGTCTTTTCACATGATTTTATGCCGATTATCGATGTATGGGCCGTCAGTAACATGGAGAGGTGGTGGACAGTGGTAAGTCCACGCGCTTTGTCTCACTCAGAGGACGGGAATCGAGGCAACATGAATCTCACAATTCTCATCCGAACGACAAATAATATCCAGATTTGCCCCCCTAACGCTCTGCATGCTAAGTAATCGCAGAGATTTCAACTTTCACGATTTTTTCCAGTCAGTGGTTTCTGTAGAGCCATTCTCTTGAGACACGAGCTTTCAACCTTCAAATGGCTATAAGTTCCTTCAAGTCTGTTTATTAAGAAGCGGGAAAAGCCGCCAAAATCAGATTTTTCGCTTGTGCCCAGAGACATGACGTATTTTTTATGCGAAACCTCGCATTCTATCGAATGCGCCATCTCAACGTCTGGGAACGTATCGCAGCAGTTGAAAGTCTATTCTGCTTTGTCACCCATCATTCCTCGGCACCTTCAAACTTTGATGTTGATATTTGAGACTACGACGCCCTCTCCTTCCGTTGACCAAATACGACCTCCCCCCCCAATTGTTTTTTCACGGCAAACGGCGGTTGACCCAGCCGTAACCGCTTGGCCGCGCCCTTCCCCCGTATATGAGAGGACATCTATACAGCTACGTGAGCAGGGTCAACCGTCCGTTCGAACTGTTCGAACGAAGGGGTCGCATTTTGGTCGGAAGGGGGTCGCAATTTCGAGGACTGCCAGCCACAGGCGCGTGCGTGGCGTATCCGAGGGCAAGAATTGTTTGTGCAGACCGCATTAGATTCGATTAATTATGCACAGAGAGACAGTTTTAGGCAAATTACGGTGTTTCCTTGAGGAATAAAGAAGTTGAATGCATCCCTATGAAAGGTTTGACTTCTCGGGCTGAAATTAAAGTTCTTCGGGACCTGATTTTCTGAGGACGATTCTTCCAGACAACGGTAAAACACATAAGAAAGCAGAAATCTCGTAGTCTTCAAAAATGTCTTCGCCCCTCCCCAACAAGTTCTTTGAAGGAAGTTATTATTGCTGAAAGCTCAAAAACTCGCATGTGCTGCTCAAAAACCTATGGGAACAAAAATTCGAACGTGTGATTTTCTCGGAAAATGGATTTTGAAAAACGTTTGAAGCTTGTCAGAAAGAGCAAATCCTGTACTTTCACCATGTGAAAAAGTGCATCACAGAATGAAAATGAAGTGAGTTATGCCCGCTTAAAGCCCAAAAACTCGCGATTTCAAAAAAAGTGTTCGGCAAAACCCCCCAAAATGTTCGAACGTGTGATTTTCTCGAAAAATGAACTTTGAAAAACGGTTTGGGGCTTTAGAAAGAGCAAATCCTGTACTTTCACCCCATGAAAAAAGTGCATCACAGAAATGAAAATGAAGTGAGTTATGGTCGCTGAAAGCCCAAAAACTCGCTTTTGCACGAAAAATGTTCGAACGGGACAATTTTTTGAAAAAGGGGACAATCACTAAACTTTTTATACTATTTGTTAGAGAAATATTTGAAGTTTCTGAAACTTTTTACAGATTTCCAAAATGTCGCATACGAAAGATTTTATGGGCCTTCAAAGTTGAAGGTGCGCCTTCTTAGAATTTTGGGTTTTCCACTTCTAACAGAAGTACTTTCCGGAGAGTTAGGCAATCCTTGTAGTTTTCTGGAAGCGCACCTCAGGCAATCAAAATCTACCTCAACAAGTCAAAAAATACGTCCCAAGAAAGTTATTCCCCTCTAAAAATTTTTCTTCGCCGCGTCCCGTTCTTCCAGCGCCCGGGTGATACCTGCCGCGCTCCAAGGCCGACGCGACGACGCGCAGACGCTTTCTGGCGCAACGGATTCATGTCTAGCACTCTTATTAACAAAAACAGGGGTCGCAACTGGACCCCCTCGAGAGCTAGGGGGTCGCAAAAATCCCGAAAATGTTCGAACGTGACGGTTGACCCTTCTCATAGTGAGCTTCTCTCACCTAACTTTCTCTCCTATTTAATCCACCCGGACCCATCGTGGCGTGCTTCTTCAACACCAAGCAGTTTTGTGTTTTTAATGTTCTTTTTAGACCGGAGATGGGCCATGCCGATTTACATAGAAGCAGGATCCGGTGGAGTGGATGGATGCAATACGGACAGTGATTGTAACAATGTTTTACCTGGTGCCATGTGTGGACCAGAAGGCCTTTGCGGCTTCAGCTTTCCATCAACCACTACTTCGAGTAAGCTTCAATAAGCTGTGTTCAACTATAATATTATATTGTATTTGGCGCTGAGATGGTTTACGGGCAAATGGCGCCACTTACCATGCATGGCACGAGCGCTCAGTAGTTTTTTATCGAACTCTACGACTTACCAGGAAAAGACATTTGCGTGCGCCCATTCGCCCGGTCGCCATTCAATAAGATGCATATGCGTCGTCCCTTGGACGCTGATCAATATGCGTTTCCCTTATGCTGAAACTCTCTCTGACAAGGAATTATGAACAAGAAGAAGCACATGAAACAGTGTCGAGGCTCGCGACAAGAGTCAGGGATCGACTCTTGCGATCTTATTCATTTTGCCACTTAGTTAATGAATGCTAGGAAGATCCCCAACATCGTAATTTGAACATGCTTGCGTATAGCTAACCGTATAAAGAAGTTAAGGGCAATTAATAACGAACTTGGGCGGCATCGCTCCTCACTAGTTTAGACGCTTGTAGCGCACGTGTCAGGCATTTTTGCTCTGAGCAAGTGTGATATTCGTAATCAGGGAGTCAGACTCTCCCTTTGAGCAAACTTCTAGCGAATTCTGAAATTTTGACCTAACCTCGAAAATTTGGGCAGTCACTCACCGATCCACTAATCCATTATAAAAGGCTGGCACTTGGGTAGAATAAACCTTCTGTAAATTTTTCAGAGACAGACAAAAATTGTGTCTGGCTAGTCCGTCTGCATACATCCGAAGATCTGCAAGGCATTATTCCTAGATACAACCCCTTCTTTTCTCCTCTCCCCCGTCGTCCATGATTGGTCAACCCAAAAAAGTGGAGTTTGAGGAGTGGTAATCCCATCACTGCTCCGCTTTTTCTCAATTATTCGTGACCTCAGATTTGGCGAAAAACTCGTTTTAAGGGGTAGTTTGATCCTCTGAATACGAATAGGGAACGCCTGTACCTCCACTACGGGCACCATGTGCACTAACAGACAAGGAGCACTCGAGCTTAAGAGAATTTGCTTGCAAACTCTCTGTATGTGTAGCGTGGGGCAACCACTGATAATATAACGGATTCAAAAAGGTTTTTTTTGGCTATGTTGACAAAAAGCAGAAACACCAAACTCCGGCGAGGAACCGAACCCCCAACCCCTTGCTCAAGAAGCGAGACCGCTACGCTCACGGCTACGAAGCTTACCCCATCGGCTGTTCGTTCTTCTTCAAGACTATATAATGAGCTAAAGCCTGGCCACCTCTAACATGTGATTGCAGGTAAAACACTGAAAATCAAGGGCGGCAACAAAAACCCTCCGTAACTCCTTTCAGAGAAGAGTTCAGCAGATAATGAAAGCAGATTTGAGTTCAGCGTCTCATGCTGCGTACAGAAATGTGCACCTCATTTCATTTGGCCGGGTTGGCCTAATGACCTTCCTGGTTAGCTTGAAGCTTTTTTGACTGGGTACGAATTGATCAGAGCCAAATCAATATTAGAAAGAGCGATATATGCGCCACTATACGGGTACAGAATATTCATATCACGCTGCATGACTAACGTTTCACATTTCTCGCGATGGTGCCGTCTGCAATTGACATGGTGGAAGAGACTCTTTCGAAGAACGCCCTTCTCGGCTGATCAGGGTTTTCCTTCATTCAAATCCCTGCAACTGCTCAGTGGAAGAATTGGTCAAATGCAGCGTCCTATTCACATGAAGTCGCCAAAATACTGTCTCTTAGCCATACCACGGACCAGTATTTTGGCTATTGACAGCTTAACTTCTTGAGGTGAACGTCTTTGAGCACCTTTTTCGGCGTTTCTCCTTGGCCAACCCGCACGACCCACGGACCGTGGTCCTGAGAAAATTGTCATAGTTCATTTACCATTTATCACCATTGATCAGATGTTCCAGCAATTCGCTTTCTTCGGGTAAATTGAGGAGAGTCGAGCATGCGTCCACATCGATCGCGGCCGACAAGCTTAAGCTTGTGCGGTGTGAGCAGCCCAGTTTCTTCTTGATTCCCACTTTCTTCAGCCGGGTTTCGACAGTGAAACTGCGACTCATAGTGTATTCGCCATCCCCTCGTACTATAGATTTAAGGATATCTGTTTTTAATCCACGCCTTTGCTTGTTCAAGTAGAGTTCGGATGGGCGTCATAACTTCACTTCGCCTCCAATAGTGGATTCTCTCATCTTACAAAGTTCGGATTGAAGCAGTTCTTCTGTTCTAGGGGCATGATCGCTATACACTTCCCTCATTTTGACCTCGGCAGCTTTATTAAAGAAACGTAAGGAAGAGCAAGAAAAAAGTTTATAGGAGCGATAGAAGAAGAGTGCTGAGGGTCTGTTGACGTCGAAAATCTTCCTGCATGCTGCAAAAAGAGGGACTAAACGAGAGTGCTACTTATAGGGGCAATATGACTTATACATTACTGTTACGAATTCAAAAAGTGTAACAAAATTTTCTCGCCAACGTAATGCAACAAAAAAAGAAACACAACACTGAACACGAAAGTACCTTGAGTTAACAACATACCAGGCAGTATGTCACGAAAACCACGTTTCAATTCGTAAGGAGACTTTGTTCTTTCATAGGATCTCTGCACCACTTGTTCCAGCTAACACGACACTTCTTGGAATAAAAGATAAGGATTCCTTGAAGAGCTCTGACTTGCAAGCTCTTTCCACGCATGAAGCGCGCCTTTCAATGAATTGCTCGAAAATAGTCTCATTATTTGTGTAGCGTGGCACAGAAGGAAAGAAAACGACTACTATACGAGCTGTCAAACCGCTATGGTCAAAGAGATATTAAATGATCAGCTGACCAGGGTGAATAACGGTCGAGGATTTCCTCGACCATAGCTCTCTACCATGCGAGAGTAGTGCCGAGAGTGAACATCCGCGCGGAGAGCACAGACGGCACGCCATGGCGAGTGTGAATGTCCGCGCGAGAGATCGTGTCTGATCGGGCAGAGAATCCTCGACGTGCCGTTGAGGAATCCTCAAGCGATATTCACCCTGCCAGACTAGTTGCGGCAGCGCAGACTGGATCCCGCTGCCGCAACCAGTCGCAAAGGCTGTGCCTGTCAAGGTAATCAACTGGCAAGGAAAGTCCTCGACCATGGCTCTGGACTGTGCGATGTGCGGGAAAAGTGTCGTGGGTTAATGTGCGCGTGGAGAACGAACGCAAACGGTTGCGAGAGTGAATGTCCGCGGTGGAGAGCGTGACAGAGCAGACGAAAATCCTCGACGAGCCGTTGATAAGTCCTCGACCGATTTTTACCCTGGTGCCTCATGCATCACGAATTCAAACTGGTTGACACCATAAATTGAATGTTGACGAAGAGGAAGTGTGCCTACTGTAGCGACGCACTAAAGGAACGAGTTGTAACGTTATGTGGCCAAGGGCGCACTGCTGGCATCCCTGCAGGAACTTATCCGTGATGACACCCGCTTTCATGGCTCCCGCCCGCAGGTGGATTTATTAGATGGATTCATTGCGCTAGCTACCTTTGATTCTCGATGCAACCATAGCCTTTTGCGGCTGTTGACTCAGTCGGCCTATGATTTGTCTACAGTGAGGGGTTACCCTTCGCGGCAAGAGAGTGTATAGAGGCAGGACAGGCCTTCTGCATTGATGACGTCGCCTACCGTAGAATCTCGTCCAGGGAAGAGGATGGTCTTTTTCAGAGGGTTTATCTGTTTCTCTAGATTTTTTTCCACCACCTGCACCATTCATCGTTTCATCTTTCATTTTCATTACAGCTACCAGCATCGGATCATCAGCTCATATTCAAGTCATTTGACTGTTCTATAAGCCCGTGTAGCCAATTACGGAAATTTGATACACCCCCTGCTTCCGAGAATCAGGTTGTGCAGGGTCGAGTGCGCAGACCACACACGCGCAGTGAACGCGACACTCAAAAGGAATCTGCTAGACTGGTAGCTTCAGCACAGCGAAAGAATCCAAGTTGTAACCAGCTATCATTTTTTCGGCAAGAAGTTAGCATTTTGTTCAAGGGCTTGTTCGTCACTTGTGTTGTATGGTCTACACTCGACCAGCATCTGGTTTTAGAAACAGGGTACACATATCGGAAGATTGCCGCACGTGACGGAGCAGTTTGAAGCTTAGCAACGGATGGTTACATTTCGCTATTCAGCTGTTTCTGCACACTTACTTTGACGTTTTTCTAGAGTTGGGAAATGGATATGTTTCGCAATTTCAGCGTCAGCTTCCACCTCATATGAGGAACCCACCACCACATATGAGGAACCCACCACTACATATGAAGAACTCACCAGCACATATGAAGAACTCACCACCACATATGAGCATCCACCTTATACGATCCATGTTCATCATCAATTTGGGGATCATCTGCAGCAACCAGTGCGATAGCCTCAATCATTCTAGCTATAGCGAAAATGCAGTTTCCAAATGATTTTCATCATTTCAGCGCAAGCTTCCACAACCGTCGAAGAACCCTGCATTATATGACCCATGTTTATCCACAGGCACTTCGGACAATGTGGGCAACATCTGCAGCGACCAGTAAGACAGTCCTTGATCGTTATTACTACGAGGAACATGTGGATTCAAATTGTTTTCACGTTTTCAGCGCCAAGTTCCACAACATTTCAAGTTACGTTAAGTAACCACCCCGACAAGTGAGGCATCATCTACAACAGCCAACTGTATGACTTTCTCAAATCCCACAATTGTGCAAGAAATATGTAATTGACTGTTCATATGATTTCAGCCGAAACTTCTACCGACAGCAGTGGAACATCAAGTGAAGTTAACAAACTCAATAAGTTAATTTCAGAGGCAAGCCGGTCACATAAGCGTTCGTTGAATCGAGAGAGGGCATCCCCCGGTTAATCATCCAATTTTTTAAATTTTACGATTCTCCTGTCGGAAGTATTGATACCGCTCTACTTCCACGCGGGCCACAGCAGAGCATTGGAAAAGCTGAAGGGTGCGCCAGTGTTGAATTCCTGTGACCTACGCCAGTGTGCTTTAGCAAATTAGCACGGATCCATTTCCCTCAGGCAGGGGAAGAAGACCGGGTGCGAAATAGCGCAAATGGGCATAACCTGCCTTCAGAAGTAACATTTTCCAAAACTCCTACATCTCTAGTTTCAAAAAGTCTCCAACGTAAATGAAGAGCTCTCTCTGGAGGGGGAAGTAAGGCTGAATGCAAATTTCTCAACGAACAGAGAGTTTTCCCTTTCTCGCAAAGGGCTAAGCTTATATCTAATGGTTTTCTTTTCCTTGAGAAACTGTGATGTATTCCGAGAAGCACCATTTTTGTATTCTCTAAAAAGTATTGCAAATATTTAGGGATTCGCTTCTCCAAAATATCCCACCTTTATCCCCTTTTTGTGCATCATGCGGAATTCTGCTCTTAAAGGCATGCCCCAGGATCGCACTGGTGTGGCTCTTGCACACGAATGTGAATGTATCGGTGCCAAGTGGGCCGGCAGTGAAGAAAAAAGGAAAAGAATCCGTCGAAAACGCTCAGGTTGAGGGCTCACTCACCTTCCTAATTGGCTGTGCTAAAGGAACGAGAGACTAAGCGCGAAGAGGAGAGTATGGGGCGAGAGAGCGCACAGATGAGAGAGCACCAGACAACGGCCTGATAAGAGAGCTCGTTCGCTGCAGCTCGAGCAGCTTACTTTGCAAGCCCAAAGCGTTCTTGTCGGTCGAATTCCGTGCACGTGAACGCCACATTTGTGATTGTCCCCTAGGGTTCTATACTTCTGACCGAAGAGAAGAGTTCACACGACCTCTGCCTGGGTTGTGCCTTTAATATTTCAAACATACTGTCAGTAACTTCTTGCAAACTTCGTAGAAATTTACAGTTTTGACATTTTATGGGTACTCAAAATGTTCCAATGTTTCACCAAGCGGAAAATTAGTCCTGCTGATCTTTTTCTTCAGGGAAGGGATGGGAGGGGGTGATGCGGTGCAATTTTTGTGAGCATGCGGGTTTTTCAGCTTTTGAAAATACAACATTCAACACACTTTTAAAATTTATATTTCCCATAGTGGCACGAGTATAGGTTTCCAATAAATAATAAGACATCACTGAAAATCCACGGACTCAAATATTTTTTTCATTGTGAACATTTTCTTTTCGGGTTGACACAGCCGATCATTTT